GTGACAAAAAGCCCCTAGATCTTTCAAATGAAATGTAGGTGACAAAAATCTTTGAGTTTTCACTGATACTTTTAAAGTAGATGTCCAACATTTAAGCTGTGGAAACATTAATTCTATGGTCACTGCAATACGCCCAAGTGAAAGTTTTGATTTAGTTAGTGATTTCAACTGGTTGCAATAACAAGCAACCTCCAGAATATTTTCTTTTCTTTTCTTTCTTTCTTTTTTTTTCTTTTGTTTTGTTTTTCTGAGACAGGGTTTCTCTGTGTAGCTTTGGAGCCTATCCTGGCACTCCCTCTGGAGAAAAGGCTGGTCTCGAACTCACAGAGATCCGCCTGCCTCTGCCTCCCGAGTGCTGGGATTAAAGGAATGCACCACCAACACCTGGCTAACCTCCAGATTTTTGAAAACTATTGGAGGAGCATTTCACTGTTACCTTACAGCAGAGGAATTATGGCTAGTAAAGCTAATAGGAATCTACTAGCTAGCTATGGGGCCTAGATTTTATAGTACTTGTATTTTATAAAAAATATCTGCAAGCAAAACTCTAAATATAGAATAGATATTTTCTGTTCTGTTCACATTTTCCAAAAATACTGATAGGAATCCTATGAATTAATACCCTGTCAATAAAAGATAACCCAGAGTTCGGAAGACATCGGTGAAGCCAGGTGTGGAGTACAGGGTGTGTATCGTGAAGGAGAGTAGAGTGACAGTGTCCAGGAAAGACTGTCATGGAAAAGGCTATTCATCATCTCTTTCTTGAACAAAATGTCCTCTTGGGATTACTGAGGTCTAAGACAATGCTGAAGCCAAGGTGAGACAACACTATGAACAAAGAAAGCTCAGAAGTTAGAAAAACAATCATGTTTGGGTGTTATGGGGAATAGAATTCTGACCTTGTAGTAAAATCATGGAAATAATATAAAAATTGTAACTAAGAGACTGATGAGATTTTGAAGCAAAGATTTGAGAACAATATTAGTATTATTGAGAACAATCTTATGGGAGAACAGATTTTGTCATTTAATAATCAGTGTAGTATTTGTATTACTATTCTATTAATATGATTTTAAGGGGCTGGAGAGATGGCTCAGCAGTTAAAAGCACTTGCTGCTCTTCCAGAGGACCAGAGTTCATTTCCCCAGCACCCACAACATGTGTAACTCTAGCTCTAGAGGATCATATGTTTTCTTCTTTCTTTCTTGAGTCTGCATGTGAACACACACAGAGTATATTCACACAGGTACACACATATAAACATACACATACATAAAAAATATACAAAATAATACGCAAACAAATCTTATTACACACACACACACACACACACACACACACACACACACACACAAGTTGATATTCCTCAAAGGAAACCTGCATGCATAGAGGAGGCTTTCTCCACAGGGCACTGATCACACAGATCATATATAGTACTCAAGGCATATATTAAGTGACTTTTAGCAGATCACTGTAGCACCTTGACTTTTGTGTACATTAATTACTGCATGATCTCTGGAATTCTGAGTCCCTCTATAATCTTTTGGACCAAACTGATTTTTTAAAAAATACTCAGCTTCTTTATTTCTCGTTCTATTTATAAATATTATTAACATACTTTCTATAGTCTAACCCTAGCCCAAATTTGGCTAATGCCAAAAGCTCAAAAGACAGACACAAAAGGTCAACAAAATTACAACATGGAAGCAAGACCTTTTATTCAAACCTAGTCCTGATGATTTGTTCATTCGTTTTCTCAAAGATATAAACTGCTTATCTTCAAAAGACTTGATTTATTGCTGTTTTTTTTTTTAATATTTGCGGAGAACTGTATGACAGGGCCCATGATATTCGAGGGACAACTGAGTGGAAGGAAGTTATAATTCTTTGAAGTATATTTCAGAGCACCTGAGTTGATGAGGAAAATTAAGATTAAAATGTCAAGTGAGATGTATACAGCACAACAACCTTGGTAGCTTTCTAGAAGCATCTAAAGGGAGGGATTTGCCTCATTCTCTCTCCCTCTGTATGCAACCCCCCATTGTAGGAAAAAGGGAAAAGGTTGGGATGTCAGAATTCTGGTGAAATTCTGCAGAATACGGAATGCTAAAAACAGGGCCTTGAATATCACCTGAATTTTGTCTCAAACATCTTCATTTTAGTGTCTTGCCTTTGTAGCAATAAAACAGGAACTACAGCCTCTGTGTCAAATTTGACTAAGACCAAAATTAGATATGAAGGTTGAACATGGAAATGCCCAGCTTTTCCTTCCTCTGTTTCATTTTCTTGCAGCTTGAATAAAGAGAAGGTGGCTCACACAACTAGAACTGCAACTAGCTGGGTGTCTGTGTGCTTTGAGCCAACTACATTTCTGTGTGAAAGTGTGCAGTTCTTAAGTTTCAGTTATGTAGAGGTGGCAGGCAGCTGGTGTAGATGCCTGTCTGCAGGGTATGTATGCACATGTTAACTCTGATCAACATGGCACGGCAGCAGGGTGCTTATTCAAGAAATTAATTATCTCAATTTTCTTAGGTTCTAGCCTAAGACTTCATCTTCACCAATTAAAAATAACAAAAACCCCAAACAGGCCAAAAGTAATGTCACCAAAAATATTTTGAACTCTCTTAACGACTGCTAGAGAGGCATAACAGTAATGAAGTTAATAAAACTCTAAATGGACCCTATTTACTCTTTTTTTATCCACAGTTCTGCTGTCCTCCTGCTGATGCCTCCACTTAATTACATCACAATTTTGCTCAGTAGACTGTCTTGACTGCACTCCTTAGTCTCCGACTTTTAAGTGTCTACCAAATCTTTCTTCATCTACCTCTAAGTCATCTGTCCTTCAGTTCATTTATTTTTCCTGTTATGTAGCATGTACAATACACCGTGGTAAGCACAGTGTGTATAGTGAGGAAGACAGACAGAGTGCTGCCATTATAGTGAGCTTCAGACAAGGGGCAAGGGACTAAACAATTTCCTACTAAACATGTAAGTCATTCTGGTGAAGAAGGATTAGGGAGTCCATGAGACAAGTTTAATTTGGGTTAGCAGAGAAGGCTTCTTAGTCATTAATAGCTTAGTGGACATATTAAGGTTCAGAAAAATATAGGAAGAGTCCTTGTATTTCATACAATTTTTAAATTTGTATTTCACACATATCATACATTTTTTTTTTGTTTTACCTAACAAAAATCTAAGGAGTAGGCTTTATATTAGACTATAGAATTCGAGAGACACTCTGCCCTCCTCTGCTGGTACTTACAGGATACATTTGTGTGTGTGATGTGTGAATGTGTGACATGAAAATTTAAGCACAAAGTATCTATTCTCTAGCTGGGGAGATTGTGTGTTGTACCAGCATGTGAACCTGGATTGGATCTCTAGCGCCCATGTAAAAACTGGGCACAGAGTCACATATCTATAGTCCTAGAACTGGGAAGACAAATGGGTGGATCCCTGGAGCTCACTAGCTGGCCAGCCAATCTGTCAGTGAGCTCCAGGTTCAATAAGTAACCCTGCCTCAAAAACTAAGATTGAAAGGAATAAAGGAATCTCTGGCAAACATACATATCTATCTATCTATCTATCTATCTATCTATCTATCTATATCCATCCATCTATCATCTACCTACCTACCTATCATCTATTTTAGCTATCATTTGGGTCTTCTAAAGGATTACATTCCTTTAGAATGTAATCTAAATTACATTCTATATACATATGTAAATCTATAATACACATATAGTATATTGAGGACTAAAACGTTCATAATTTTCCTACTTAAAATATCCAACTAGTTGCTGGGGATAGGGGTAGTGGTGGTGGTGGTGGTGGTGATACCTTTGATCCCAGCACTTAGGAGGCAAAAGCACGTAGATCTCTGAGTTCAAGGTCAACCTGGTTTACAGAGTTTCAGGACAGCCAGGGCTATGCAGAGAAACCTTGTCTTGAAAAACCAAACAAAACAAAAAGTCCAATTAGCAATTGCTCTGAAGTATACAGTGCTGCCCTTGTTGCTCCAGGCTCTGCCTTCCAGAATCCTGGCTAGGAAACCACACAGATGGCCCTTCTCTCAGCAATTCCTTCTCTCAGCAATTCCTTGGCAGTCTCTCTAGCCAGTAGTTCTCAACCTTCCTAATGCGGTGACCCTTTAATACAGTTCTTAATATTGTGGTGACCCCCACCCATAAAATAATTTGTTACTACTTCATAACTGAAACTTTGCCACTGTTATGCAAATGTGTGTTTTCTAATTGTCTTAGGTGACCCCTGTGAAAGAGTTGTTCAACCTCCAAAGGGGTTGTGACCCACAGGTTGAAAGCTGCAACAGCCACAATGCCTACTCAACAGCTGAGTTAATTAAAGATCACACTATAGGAAGAAACCTGCATCTAAGTAATAATAAAAAGTAAGATAAAATGAAAACAAACCAACAGGACAAAACAGAAGAAAAAACAGCCAAAAGAAAAAGCATGACAAACACATATAGATGCTAGTGCACACACACACACACAAACACACACACACTTTCATATAGCCAAGAATCCTATAAAAACAGAAAACCGGAATCCATAATACATACACGAAGGACCTGCAAGGTTAAAAAACCAAACCAAACCAAACTCTGACAAAACATTATGAAACAAAGAACCTCCAAAGAGTCCACTGAGTTCGTTTTGTGTTGGCCATCTACTGTTGGCCCTGCCCTCACAACTTCTCCTTCTAATGTCTTCCTTACAAAGGGGCCGCTCTCTCAAGACAACTCTGTTGTCTGTGTGTGGCCCGGCTCCTCCAGGCAGACTCTGCTTCTGACAGAAGGAACACTCTGGTTTGTAAGCCTGTGTGAAATGAGTTTCCCACCACAAGCCCGAGGAATCCCCCACGCAGGAGCTCCCTGCACTGTCCAGGAACTCCCTGCATCTGCATCACTACTGAACCGCGGAGCCACTGAACCAATTATTAACCCGAAATGTGCTTTCCTCTCCTGTTCTAGTCACCTGCTTATTTTTCCAGACCGTGTTCCTGAGTTCCAGGAAGGTCAGAAGGTCACCTGACAACTTCACCAACACGTTACCTGGCACGTCTCAAGACAGGGCCTTCCGCACGCACTGG